AGTCTAATGTTCTTGGTGTCCTTGCTGTTTCATACTAGTACATAAAAAAGTCAAAATTCAATGTTTATTTTACTTAAATAGAATTTGGTTTTACTAAAATGTCGATTATGATTTTTCTTTATTTATATCATCAACCATTTGTTTTATTCGCTACCCTATAACTTAATATTATGATTTACAAAACTTGATTTAGGTTAAATTCCAAAAGTGGCTGCAGACCGCAAACCGCAGACTGCAGCGACAGTGTCGTCTGTGGTCAGACCTATTCCGAGCAGAACTGCACTGCATCTACAAAACAGCGACACCAGCATTGCACGATGGGAAATTATAATAGTATAATATTAAAAGTCGTATAAGTAGGGTGTCAGACACAATGAACAACGATGAATTATTGTTATATCTTTTGATGGAAGAAGATGACGACGATCTTTTACTTTTGCATTATAAAAGAAAAAGGAAGCCAACTAGGTCTCTATTTAAAAATAGACAATTTGAAGGAAGTTATTCAATACTCATTAAAAATCTCATTTTCTTCATTTGAAAAACTCATTTTCAAAAGATATTCAATTCTTTTCACTTTTCAGTCAATTTGGAAACAGCAAAAATATGTGTTGTCACTCTGTGGTCGGCGACACTACTGATTCTGGTGCAGTCCTGCGGTCCGCCGTGGCGACGTTCTACTTGCGGTGGCAACAGTGCCGCTCTACTCAACATACAACTCATAAGAAACCATATGAACCAGTAGGTCTGTCGCTGCGGTCTGCGGTTTGCTGTCGTGTTCGGAATCATACCTTTATAATTTATTAAAAATACCATTCTTACTATGCATGATTCTCAAAATAAGTTTTGTGGGAGAAAATTTACTAGAATTTATGTGCTCATGCTGGTTTGTAGTTTAAAAATATTCTTTCCCAAAATATCTATTGATTCTTTAATTATATATAAACAAAATTAAAAAACTAAGATTATACATTTAATGAGAAAATCTTACTTGATCAGCCCACAAGGGCTCTTGGATTTTAATAGATTGCCAACTGATAACTTTATTAAATGGAGAATTGTGATCCACAGAAAAATTTGATCTAGCTGTGCAATCTTTGGTCTGGCATTTACTTGGTACAGTGTAAACCCCATCTGGCTGTCTTAAAACTTGTGTTCCTGAACAAGCAGTACAACTAAATGTCCAGAATTGACTAATTAACTTTACTTGACTAGCTTTTATCACGGTACCCCGAATAGTAACCATTTTTCCTTAAAATATGTAATTTCAGTAAGCTTTTAGTCTAAAATTCAGATTTGTCTTACCAAAATAATTAACGCGAAGATCTCTCAACTGCATTACTGGCTCTACATTACAAACCCGTACTAATATAGTATCAAATAAAATTAAGTTTGGCTCATTTTGTTCTTCATAATGTTTCGAAACGAGATCATGCATGGCTAAGCCCATGCATTTTAATATATACTCTGAATTGTCCAATAATTCTTCTTTAAATTCAGGCCATTCAGAAATTATTTCTTCACTTTCTGTTAAATACTTAAAATCTAGTGTAAAAAACCTGTCACGTCCTATGGTTTCAAGAGATTCTGAAGGGTAGCTTTGTCGAAAAAATGATTTCAATATTTCTAGACGTTTTTTCAGCAATTCTATTTTGATCTCATCTAAAAAATAAATGAATCAAAAAACGTAAACATATTTTGCATGAAGATACTTACTATCATCCGGAAAATATATTCTTAAACCAGGATATCCATAATTTGGTAAGCTTCTAACATCACTTGGATCACTTCCAGTGTATTTTTTCGTTTTCTTATAGCTATTTCTAAACCATGGTTTAGACATATTTATAACAAAAACTAAAGATTGCACTAATACAGACCTTTGTAGAAAATGGATGTAGAAATCGGTTTATCTGTAGGGAAATTTGAAAAAATTTTAATTTGTTTTGTGTGGTTATGTATGACAATATGACAAAACAAATATAGGAAGTCTGACAAACAGAAACAGTATAAAATAAATCCTGTCTAAAACTGCGTAATTCTACAACGTACAATTATATGACTAAAAATAACAAAATAAGAACAATTTAGTTCAAAATTGCCCATTTTTTTATGCACAGCAAAAAGTAGAAATTATTTCAAAATGATTGTGTACGATTCTTTTACGCAAATTTTTATTTTTTAAGAAAAATTTGGGGATCTTCTGGAGTTTAGTCATAATTGAAGTTTGAGGCAAAATCAGTGCAGCCAACGTTATAAATATATATCAATTTGAAAATTATGAAATTTAATAACTTTTATTTACAAAAATAAATTTAAATAATGCTAAAAGTAAGCATAAAATATTATAAACAAATCCCTGATGTATAAATATACGGATTTAAAATTTAAAGGACTATGCATAATATTCTTGAAACAACTAATTTAATTGTTATTAAATGTGGAACAAACTCTTAATCAAAAACTAATTTCTGTCCGCCTATGGTCTGGGATGATCATTATATCAGAGGCTGCAAGATTCCAAGGACGAAGGTGAGAGATGATCTCTTAAGAAAAAAAGGGGATCAGAAGGAGATGGATGTAAAGCTTAAAAATAGAGATGTAAAAGCTTTCAAAAATAACACATCTTTTGTTAGATCACATTGAATTATAACTTCTAGGTCATTATCATTTTTCTCTAATCGGTTATCATTCATATTGTATGTTTACTATAAAAGACTGATTATGTACATACATTTATTCAATTCATAAAAATATTACTTTTTTACTTATTTGTATCAATTATGGAATTAATAAATAAAAATATTTATAAATAAATCTGTAGATTTATTATATTTCTAAATCGCTATGAAAAGAAAGAACTTATTCACAACCTAGTAGAAATTGCGTGACATATTACCAAAGGACCAAAGAAGTACAAAAAGGGAAAGAACAAGATATGGTAGCGACCTGAATATCCAATAACAAGACGCCTGAAAATGAGATGCCAGAAAGAAAAAGAAAATATGGTACTGTTCTTGATAGATTATGCTGAGTGTAAGGTTATCAGGTTGATAGCCATTTTTAACAGATTTGAAATGTTGCTCTTAAATAAGTAACCCTTATATTCCGACGACCTAAGGAAGATTTACAGTGATATGGCCTGTATACAGATCTCTCCGTTCGGCTCGCGGCTGCCTGTTGTAAGAGGCGACTAATGGAAAGGTAATGAGAGATGGAGAGCCGTCGTTTGAGGTGTCTGGTTTGTAGAAAGTGTAGAAACGCACTCGGAAGGCTTAGGCATGTCGGTCAACGGTCTACACTCCTAGCATTCGAGACGAGTCTCTCGTGGGACCACTCTACTCTCATTCCACAAGAGCCAGGTGAGGTTGAACGAGCTGAGCCTGTATATACCTCTCACGGTCTTACACTACTGAGAGTGGTGTTGCTGTCTTGGCACGTACCCAGCTGGATGATTTAAGAGTGGTAGAGGAGTGATCCTCGGCGGCGACCTATCTAAGTGCGAGGTGGAATTCCTCCGCCTGCGTCATCTTTTCGACCCCTGGGGGGATCAACGGACGGGTGACGTACCCGCAACACAGGTACTACGGGGAAGGTGGAGCCCCACGATGTTTCGGCATCGTGCCACCTTCATTTGGTGTCGGACTCGTAGGGGCAGTGGAGTCGTTTACGGCCGTATGCCTTAACAGGCCAGGAAGACCAGGATCCAGCCAGGTATTACAGATCTTCCATTAAATTGTGTAAACTTACGTTGCACAACAAATTGCTGTTCAAACGGATCACCTATACCTTATACATTCTCACGCAATCATACATCGAACAACAACTTACACTATACAATTGGAATTTTTTGTAGAATAGTCCGGTTATCACAGGTATGTGGACCCCACGCGGCAACGCGAGTACTTATAGAAATACTTTTTACAACGCTAGTGGTCTAGTTCTTTCAATAGGCTCACATTGTTGCTTAGTTTAGTTTATATTAAAGGTATGTACATGCACCGATACAGGTCCGAAGGCAATCTTCAAGAAGCAATTTTGGCTGCTAAAGAAATAGATGAAAAGGGAGGCTGCCAGACCGTTAGTATGTGTTTAGAAAAGGCAGATCGGCCATGCACGCCATAAACAAAGCAGTTATGGAGAAAGAAGCATGTAGGGTTAGGTGGATGGTGGCATTCTTCCTTAACAACGCGAGCTGGGGGAAAATCATAAGATTATTAGAAGAAATGGAAATATCACCAATGCTGTATAACTTGGTGAGGGATTACGTCAGATACTCTGAATTCAACACACGTCAGATATCCCTTTCGGAGGACTCAACTAGTAAGGTCTTTGGAAGATTTCACACCCTCATAAAAAACGGCGCACTATACAACTAGATACTAATGCCTATTGTTGGTTTTACCACCATTTTCCAATGTAGCACGTTAAATTTTAAGTCAGGTGTGTGTAGACGCTACTTGACGTCATTTTTTTCAAATTATTGAGTGAGAATGGGCCGATTTTTAAACGAAAATGCATAACTAACTACTGAGCATTACGTAGTCTGTAGATCGAAAAACCGAAATAGTGAGAGTGTCACCATAATATGCAAATTGTTAATGCCGCTTTGATCTTAAAAAAAAGTACTAAGAAAATATTAAAAAATCGCAATGCATTTCGAAAACATTACTGCCTGATGAAATTTAATAAATTATTCTACAAAATATCTATCTAATAGCTTTTGAACCTGTATATTTATTTTCCATTAGTTATTAATAACTAAATACTTTGAAATGACCTAGTTAGAGGTAAATGTATTTATAAACATCGATCATTTAAAAAAAAGTAAAAAGCAACTAATGAAATGGTCGAACAAAAAAATAAATTAAAATTCAATGCTATTTGTGTAACACTATGGGTGACTGTTTTAGTATAGTACCGTCAATAGTAGATTTTTAAACCGATCATCCCTTGAAAACAAGCAATATTGGTTGCCTACAATCCAAAAGTTCAATGCCCCTATCCTTAACTGTTACACAACTCCGCGCTGTTCCAGCATCCCCTTCCATCTCGAGAAAAAAGTATTGAATGGGTCAATGTGCACTTCGTATTTTTTTGCGGTAGACGAGCATCCGAGATCGTAGGTACCTGCTCGATTTGTTATTGTTTTGTGTTTTTGTTGTCGTTCACCCTGAGACCAAACTAAACCAATTCTAAACCGTACCCGTCCTGAAAAATGTACCAATAAGAAACTCTTTTGTGACATTGTGGTTGTGTTTTTAACAGAAACTGATTAAACTGTAGAATAATTGTGATTTTCATTAATAATTTTTGTGTTATGCGATTTGAATGATGCCACAAACTAGAATCTAGGGGTGGGAATTTAGAGTTTACCCCAAAATGTTGAATGTGCTCTTTTTGATTTTGTATTTTGGATTCTTAGTCGGTGCTGAAGATGAAGTTGCCACTAATAGCTTTGGTATCGAAACAGGTAATTAAATTTGAATATTTATATTTTTAGTTAACAAACTGGATTTAAATAAATTTGAATTTGATATTATTTAATGTTGACATAATAAATAATTGTTTTGTTGATTTCTTTGAATAGTTTTAAACCAAAGACAGCGATTTCCTAACAACTCTAGTTTGTTATTGTCTGAACTCTTTGATTTATCAGTGGCGTGCTTGGTTTGTTTAATATATAGCCAATTAAAGATTAATTTACTCTAAATACCTATTAAATGTTTATCTCTTCCTCTAAAAATATAATTGGTGTTTAAAATAAACGAGATTTGCATAAAAATATAATAAAAATTCAAATTAGTTATCAATACAAACATATCAAGACAACAATTGAAAATATATTACTTAAATCATCTTTATGAAAAAGAAACATACAGTGTCTGTCAAAACGTCTGCAATATTTAAAATAATTAATTTTGAGGTTAAAATATTTTTCTTCTATTGTGTTTTTTGAATGGATTTTCCATCAGGAAAAACCATTTTTTTTCCAAAAAATAAAAACAAAAACAATTTTTTAAACAAAAAATATTTTTCTTCTCTTTTGTTTTTTTAATGGTTTTTCCTTTGTATTTTACTTATTAGTTATATCCAATGGACAGAAATTTTAAATTATTAAATAATTATCTATATAAAAAAAAACATGCTGTGACTAACAAAATATTTGCAAATCATCAATTTTTAGTTTCAAATATTTTTTTCTTCTTGTGGTTTTTGCTATATTCCTTGTAGTTGGTTCTTAAATTCATCCTCGTTGTTGTCATACCAGTTCAATTGCCAGATATATTTGGTAATAAATTACACTTTTTTTCCTCATTTTCGTTTCAATTTTTTATATAGAATAATAGTTTTGCCCGGCAAAAATGCGATTTTTTATGGACTCTATGGACTGACTGGAAAAGTATGAAACCCCAAAATTTAATGTTTTAATTGTATTTTTTTTAAATCGATGGAAAAGAATATAAAAGCCAAATTTTAATTTTTTAGTGGGAAATTTTTTCTGGGGTTGCTGAAAAAGTATATAGAGCCTAAATTTTAATGTTTTAAGGTAAATTTTTTTTATAGAAATTCTGGAAAAGTATATAAAGCTTACATTTTATTGCCACATTTTTTGTTAAGTAGCTGAAAAAGTATATAAAGCCCAAATTTTAATGTTTTTATGTAAACTTTTTTGGAGTTGGTGGAAAAGTACTATATAAAGGCCAAATTTAATTTTTTTTAATGCGACATTTTTACTGTATAGTCCAGTCATCAGACATTTTGTCTTTAAAAATGAAAAGAACAAGCTGAATTTTTCTGAGAGTGTCAATTTTGGGACACCAAAAAAATACAAAAAGTTTACCACTTTTATCCCCGGGCTTCCCCTAAAACGCCTCTCGCAATGAGGTAAAATCGCAAAAAATCGATTTATTAAGAATCTACACTGTAGAAAAAAATATTTCAAATAAAAAATGTAGCTGAGATATTTTTTAACAAAAAGGCTTATTAGCACTTTTTGGATGCCGGTTCGGTATGAGGTCTTGCGGGTTCGGCCCGCAAATCTGGCTTCGTCAATTTGGATTGGGTCTTCTTCCGTACTTCGAAGCTGTCCACGGCGATTCACTGACATCACAGAGGAATAGACTTCTCGACACATGTTGTACCAGTCGCATATAGGTAGCTTCTCTTTCTCTCCCCGTTAATTTCATTATCGTGTCAAAATCGAGTTCCAAAATGAACATGAACATCAATTTCAAAATTTCACATAAAGTTAACTTGCAGTTACTTTTTCCATATAAGTCGGTGAAATGAAAAAAAATGGTTGCCATGTCTAACTGATCTGGTTGTGTGGCATCCTCTCCTTGGTCAGCGGAGAACTAGTCTATATTCACCACCCCGATCTCGCTCGTAGGAATGCTACGGCGTCTGCTTCGCTCGAAATGACAATTTTATAAAACTCTTTTAGCAACATTTTGTTTGCAACTAAATCAATCTTCATTTTGGGGCTCATTTTATACCAAAATGGGTCATTAAAAGTTTTAATGTTAGCACAACGTAATTGACCAGTAAAGAGTTTGTCAAAATTTCCCTAATTTCTTTGTGCATTCCTAATTGACCACTAGTGTTTGTACCTATTTGAGGAAGATTTAGACCGCATTCCGAATCAGCTAACATTCCGACATGTTTTGATCAGAGTGTCCTATCGATAATCGCTCGAAGAGAGCAGCTTTCGGATGTATTTTTTTTTTATTTTGCCACAAATGAAGTTAGTTTGTATAAATTAAATAAATAAAAGTTGCGCGATTTTTAAATAAACACAATATCTTGTATATTTGCCTATAGTTGGTTAATGTCTTCTTCTTGTTCTAAGTTTTCTGTCCTTATTTAATCTTCTATTTGCTCTCTGTATACATTTGCAATGTCGGGATCTTTTAGTTTATTAATGTCGATTTTTTCTCTTCTTTTCCCGATCTCCTTTTTTAAATTGGATATTCTCTCTTTAAATCGTGCTTTAACTAAATAATGATCACTATCTATGTTTGCTCCTCCAAAAGACCTAATATCTAATAAGTTACAGCAATGTCTTGCATCGATGATTATACGATCTGTTTGGTTAATCGTTTCATTAGCAGGAGATTTCCAAGTCCCCTTATGTATATCTTTATGGGGAAATCGTGTCCCAGCTATTACCATGTTCTTAGACATCGCAAAGTTTATGATTCTGAGACCGTTATCATTATAGTCTACATATAGGCTCTCTTTTCCGATGGTGGACGAAAATATATTCTTCCTTCCGACTTTGGCATTCAATTCTCCTGCTATTATTTTGATGTCATTTTTTTATTCACTTATCGTACTCTCGGTCGAGTGCCTCATAGAACATGTCTTTCATCATCCTCTTTTTCTTCCGTTGGAGCATGGATTCTAATAATGCTAATATTAGCGAACTTCCTTTTAAGTCCTCTTTAACATATCTTATCTTATGATCAATACCTTTGAAATCAATTACACTCTGTTAGTCCTTGCTGCTTACAATAAATCTGGTACCAAATTCGTGTCAGGTAGGATGTCCTGTCCACTGTAGTAAATATTGCAGTTATTTTGTTCCAGGATGCCTGATCTAGTCCATCGCATTTCCTGTAAAGCAATGATATCCGCTTTGGCTTTATTCATTTCTTGTATGAGCAGAGCCGTGGCTCAAGGCTGATAAAGGCTTCTTACGTTCCACGTGCAAATTTTTGAATCATTTTCCTTATTTCCTTTGCTAGTTCGCCATAGGTTAGACAGTCCGGTTTCTTTCTTTGTAGCTCTCATAATATAAGGCTTTTTGCAGGGTTGGGTAGTTAACCCAACGTCAAACCCCCTTTTCGGATTGCCATTTCACCCGCTCCCGTCAGTTCCCGACCTAACTTTCCACTCGGGCTGGAAACTGGATCCTCAGTTAAGTTGCTCGGTTTACAGGGGACAACAGCGTGAAGGTGAGAGTTGGATTTGAGTGAAGCAGAATCCATTGTTATTAATTTCAGGTTGGTTTTCAACCAAAGCAAGCGTTTCAGGTTTTACTTTTTCGTAAAATATTATTTTTGTCTTTAGAAATCTTAATAATGTCCTGAAACTGTTTTCTTTTGGCATGTATAAGTTAATTATTGTGTTTATATGGGATTAAGTCACAAATTGATTGTTATGAAAAATACAATTTTAACTAAAAATTTGACGCTTCGATTTCCACTATGTACCGAAATCGGTTTCAAAAAGAATATTTAAGAATTTGTTAATAAATAATCTTTTTTGAAAACGATTTACGGAGTGGAAATCCTAACGTCAAATTTTTAGTTAAAAATATAATTTTCCTTACAATCAATTGTAGCGTAATCGCATATAAACATGATATTTAATTTAGAAATCGATTTTGTGCAAAATGAGTGTATAATCTATTTTTTATTATTTTTTAATTTAGAAAGCAAAGTTTGCAATTGAAAAATAGACTTTGTACAATAGTGTCACAATAATAGTGTTGTTATTTACTTGATTTCCAAGTCATCCTTGATAGTTATAAATAAATTTATTATATGCAAATGTATGTATTTATACATGAGAAATTCAAATAGACTAATTTCTTCCTAAACAGTGTGTCACGACGACTTTCAAACACGACAATTTGTTTTAATTCATTTTAATCATCATTATCATCACGGTGCTACAGTTCTTAAAGGTCCTTGACCTTCTCAAGCTTTCTGTGCCTTGCTTGGATTTATCAGTTGGCAACATCGATCTTCTAAGCATTCTGTGTTGCCCCATCTATCCACCTCCGCTTTGGTCTGTTACGTCTTTTTATTCCCAGCGGCTGCGCTGTCAAAATAACTTGCCCACTAACTAACTACATATCCTGCCCACTGCAGACAGATTCGTCTGTTTTGGCGAGGATCCTTTCCTCTGATCCATATGTGAGAATGGAGACTATCGGTTTTCTAGATACTCAGTCAATTATGCGCCCGATATGCACCAGAGAACAACAGATATACCACCAAAATGGAAAACTTCTACGAACACATTCAGACTATAATATACGAGACCCCAAATGATGAATATATAATCATTATGGGTGATTTTAACGCCCGTGTTGAAAATGATGTAGTTTAGTAGATGTTGGAAATGATATTTTACGAAATAGCCCAGTCTAGATTAGTAGATCTAGACTGGGCTATTTCGTAAAATACCTAATTAGTTTTTTTATGCGAAAACACAAAACATTCGCCTAGCGACCAAAAAAACGATAAAAGTTTGCGCAGCTGCAAATGTCAACTTTTTATTTTAAAATAACATTCTGAAAAAATATTTTCAATCCACCTTTTATCATAATAATATACTCACCACAGTTAATTTCTTTTTATAGAATCACGTCTTGAATTTTCTAAATAATCCTTTTATCTTTAAAATTGTTGACAGAAATACGCATGGTAAAGTTTTTGGTGTATCATATTGTTTGCTTAG